TTACACAGTGCAGAAGATGCAGTTCATGGTGTCTAATGAGATTTACTTCATTGGCTTGCACCTTAAGTCCTAACAGTAATGCAGCTGAAAGAGGATGATATCTTGCATTATTAGCAGCACGGGGGTCAATGGACTTTTGTTCCATGCCCATCAACACCAGGTCTGGGATGTGGTATAAGAAATATCTAAAACATTGTCTGCTTGAAAGGTACCACCTCTGCTACAGTTAGTGAAGCTGAACCAGCTTCACTCATAGATACTGTGGGGTTTAACTGAATGAAGAACATAATTTCTGACACATTTGGGAGAAGCATGGAAGACGGCTTCTGTTTCTGATGCACTACATTTAGTAAAGTACATAAAAATTTTGCCTATTTGAAGTTCTACAAGGCTTTAACTTATTTTCTTGAGATCTATTTTAGTATGCCCACACTTGCATAAGAACCCTATCAAATGGAAATGAAGTGGATAATAGAGACTTTTGTGGATAATTTGACATGTTTTAAAATGCCTGTTTCAATGGCTTTCTCTTGGGTTTATATTTAAAATATATAAGTGATTGTTTGATTTGAATAAGAAATTAGGAGGTCATTTGGATTTCAATTTTTTTTTTTTTATCTATGGAGATCTCAAAGATTTTTTTTTTTATTCCGGGGTGGTTTTAATTGCCTCTTTTCAGGCTTTGATAAAGGAGCTCTTATAAACCATGACATTTATTACTAAAACAAATTTCATGCAATGGAGGAATGTTAATCAAAACACGGTACTATGAAAAGCTCAGCTACCATTTTAGCAATTTAAGGACCGTAATCCTGCTACCCTCATGAATAAAGCTGCTAGCGCAGTGAGTTGTATTTTGTATAATGACATATTGGGCTGCATTAGGAAGACCACAGCCCACAGGTTGAAGGAAGTGATTGCGTCCTTCTGGTCAGAACCTGCGACACTGCATTTGGGTGGTTATTTCCAGTTTTGATTCCCCAGTACAAGACAGCCATTGTCAAACTGGAGAACTACAATGGAGAACAATCAAGAAGGAGGATGGAACGCATGATGTGTGAGGAGAAGCTGAGGGAGCAGCTTGTACAATCTGAGGAAAACACAGCTAAGGGCAGTGCTGATTGCATTCTTCAACTTTCTAATGAGATGTTAGAAGCAAAAGACAGAGCCAAACCACTTCCAGAAGTGCACAGTAAAAGGCACGAGCACAATTTTCAGGTAGGGGAACTCGTATTAGCTATACAGGAGCAAATCCACACTCCACAGTGAGAGCGGTCAAACACCGAAATATGTTGCCCAGAACGGTGGTGTCATTTTAATGTTTGGAGGTAGTCGGAATTCAGATGTACAGGCCCTGAGTAACCTGATATAACTTTGAGGTTCTCTCTGCTTTGAGCTAGATGACCTTCAGATGTCCATTCCAGCTTAAATTGTTCAAAAATTCTATAAAAATAGCTGCATTAGCTTAAAACAACGTCCAATCTGCTGTGCATGTGGTCAATACTGGATGCCTAGAGAAAAAGCGTATCACAGTCATCATTGCTACCCTGGCCAGCTAATGGTTGAAATAGTAGCCACAATATTATAGCCTTTCTAGTTAAGGACAAAATTTTACTCCATCACAATTCTATGATACTTGTTGACACAGGTCTTAGCTTTATTTCCTTTTCATTGACATTCAGAGCAAATCTTTTGAATATATGATGTATCCTGTCAATCCGTACACTTTGTACAATATTCATTAAAAGAATAGCTAACTGAAATTCCCATCAATATTACTTAGATAAACATAAATATATATACAAGGGGGAAAATCTAATCCCAGGATTTTGATGTTAGCAAATGCAGAAATTGGTTGGAAAATTTAAAATTATTTAGATCTTACATTCCATTTAAGAAAAGTAATTAATGCAGAAATGCTATATCAATTACACTCTGATAATCTCTGTCCAATCCTCTGTAAACTAATAATACTTGAAAAATTTAAAATCAAATTGTCTACACCATATAGCTTTAATGTCTCCATGCAATTCATTTTTCAACCATTATAGTTAGTATGTATACAAAAGGAATTTTAACAATGGTGGATAACAGCTATGTATTTCTGAAATATGTTTATAAGTAGTAATTTTTTTTTAATAAGCAGCTTGTGGCTAATTAGCTTTGTGATATAAGATGTTGTACTCTCTCAAATTGCTGTACATCAGTGAACAGGATAAAGAATGCAGAGCAGAGTGATGGAATAAAGCTTATTTTCTTGTGTCAACACAATTCATATGAATGACAGGATAAAAGAAAGCCATGAAGCAGATTGAAATGGTTATTTCTAATGTGTGAAAACAATGTTTGTCACAGTTTCCATTGTGCATACCTGTCTGAGCTGGGTGGAGCTGCAGTAGCAAACATCCAAGCTTGTGAAGACAGTGTTGAAAACCGAAGTTTACTTTGTTTATGGGAGTGCACTTACCACCAGCTCCGATACGAGTATTGTTCATAAATGCAAAAAGTGAGAAAGCAATGGTATCATTGTGTGGAGAAGGGGCTGGCATACTGCTGAAGCCAGAGTTCTGTAATTATAATGGGATAAGCAAGTAGTTTAACTTTCTGAATCAGGATTAAATTATCTGGAAGTCAAGCTATTAAACTGTCGCAAACTTCCATGAAATACCCTGGCAAGCTATGTGATGTCATTTCCAAGCATGTTAATGCCTGGGAGAAGTGTATTTTATGGCTAATATCTCAACACAATGACATCTACAGGCATATTAGGTACCTAGTTCATTAGCATGTTAAATCAATTTCACTGGCTGACAGTATTGATTAGGTTAACTGTCCACATTATGCTGCTAACCTACTTTGGACAACTTAAAAATCTATTATTTGAGTCTCTGATGAATACACCTACAGGTCCATAGCTGTCATGAAGCAAATTAATTACATGTGAAAAGTAAAAGTTTTATACTAAACACAGTGGGGTTTTGTCGCAGTAATCTCCTGCTAAGAGGTCACTGTGTTGGATAAAATGTATACAGGATGTATGGGAATGGCAGTCAATCCTGCAGAGCTGTATACAAAAACGTATCCATGTAATGATAAAATTGCAAATATCCATACCCTAGGCATTGGATGGAAGATTTCATTGGTATGTCCAGTTGATGGTTATTCATTAAGTTTGTATTTCTCAGGGACGGAGAGGTTGGGGCATCAGCTTTAGGTACCTAACTGAAGTCAGGTGGGATGAATCGAGGATACTGTGTAGAACTACAGTAATTTAAGCAACACAGTGAAAAGATAATTGTAGTTTGTGTGTGTATGTGTTTTCACAAGTTAAAATGTATACTCATATATACCACTAATCAAACAAATGCATTTTTATCAGACTCAGCCTTGCATTATGGCCAGCTTTGCATTATGGACAAAAGTCAGTGTCAATATTAAATCAACTTTTAAATGTTTCCTCAGAGCAACTTTGTCAAAGTTAAAGTGTGGTGCTAAGAAAGCACTCAGACTGGACTGAAGGTAAAGAGATTAAGACAGTTATAGTTAAAATACATTTGAGCTTTTGAACAACGATTAATTTTGTGTTAACAGAATTAATACAAAGTTCTGTAATTGAGCGGCCATTAGCATAATGAAAGCATATCAGTGATCTGAGCTAGCAATTGCTTCATATTAAAGTGACAGAGCTAATGAACTGTTTAAGTACTTTTCTTTGCAGATATGATCAGGGTCAAATATGTCCCTGGAAAGAATTCTGGAAAGAATACATTACTTAGATTATATTGCTATCACTTTAAAGTTGCACATCGTTCTCATTCTTTCTTTGGCAATAAGAACTTTAAAAATTCTTACAGTATTACAAAAAATATTACAGAGTATTTTCTGAATTTGATTAGCGCTTCAATAAAAGGTCAAAATACTTTGAATCAAATTCTCTGCTAGTGTAAAGTGGTGTCATAAACTCAAGACAAAAGCCACACGGCTCTGTGTGTTTCCTCATGAATATAGTCTTTCATGATTTTATGTATTCATGGTGAGCTACTAGTGTATTCGTACAGCTCTCACTGCACTGCTGTGGTATAAACAAGTGCTTTCCCAGTCGGAGGTTCTGGGCACACCTCCTGCTCTTCAGCTGTGTGACCTGCTTCTGGCTGCTGCCGTGCCCTGAGAACTCCTCATACTAATGTCAGTCCCACACCTGCAGTAAGGACAGACTTTTTTTTTTTTTAAAAAAAGACAGACAAATAGCTCTCCTTTTAAATATAATGTGTAACATGCAGTATCTGTCACTAAAATGTCAGCTTTTGCCAGTAGCCTACAGTGAAGATGATAACTGAAAGATTAAACCTTTTTTTTTTTTACATAGAATAAGAAGCAGCTGGGATCTATGAAAAAGTTGTGGAAAAATATTTTCTTGATAACAGAAAAAAATATATAAAAAGGACTGTTTTTCGAAGATGACATGAAGCATAAGACCAAAACTAAAATTTTTAATCAAAAATATGCATTTTTCTACCTTTTATATTCTTTACTGGTTTATCCATTTTTCAAGGTGAAAGTCTTCAAATGGTGAATTGGATTCAACTAGTATAAACCAATATAGCTTCACAGACAACTTCACTATTTTCCAGTGTAATAAGGGAATTAAGGAAAACTGGTAGCTGCTAAACATCTGAGCCAACTGTTTCAGGTTTTTCATAAGCCATCTGAGTTATCTAAAGTTGAGGAATTATTTGCAAGATAGATGGATGCCTCTTGGTTTAAAATGTCATGTGACGGAATTGGTGCAACATTCAACTAATTACTTAGTTAGGTCCCTGACATTAGACTAAGGGAAGTTTTTATTTGAAGATTGGATGGTTCATATAATTGTACAAAACACAAAATACAGTAAATGCATACTGGGGGAATTATTTTGTGGAAATATTTGCCTTTCTGCTGTGCAGCTGTAAGCATAATTTCTAGCAGCAGATGAACTGATGTAATGTGATTGATTGCAGGTTTCCTCAAGAGCTGAACATGGGAAAAATCAGTGCTGAAATCATGTGGACTCTGTTTGCCCAGGACATGAAATATGCTCTGGAAGGTAATTAGAACAAACTATTAATTACACTAGTGAGTTCACCAATACTAATTACCACTGCAAATCACACCTGGCATCAGATTTCTGTGGGTGGTAAGAGTTTTCTGACATAACTTGTTTAAGATGTTTCATAGGTTAGTGAAAAAGAAGTATTGTAAAGGAAGAAAATCGTTGCACTGCGACTAGATGAAGTTATCTGTGGAAGAAGGAGATAAAAGAACTGCAACTTGAAATGCTACTTTTTATTACCTAAATCTGAACAAAACCATCAATGTCCAAAGAACCACAGATATGCTTGCTAGAGAGCATTGTAGGCATTCCATATTTTCATAGTAGCTGAAAATTGCTAACTTGCCCATAAGAAACATTTATAGAATGAAGTTATGGAGGAAAACACACACAGATAATTAAACCTTTTTGTGTTCAAAAGGCAAGTTGTACTCGTTCTAGTTCCAACAGAATCAAATGCAGTTTCCTTTTATTCTTTAAGATAGTACTGTGGTTAACCGTAGGTAAAATATACTTTTTTTCTCTATAGCAGATAATCCCCAACTAATAGTTTCAAACCCACTCATTAAAATATGGTTATTGCAGAAAACCAAGAAAAAATACCTGCATGAAACTTTTTTTAAAATATTGAAGAGAAGGAATTAAGAAAATAGTTTTAATTAATGATAGAAATATTGCCAGCCCATATACATGTATTCACACGAACTTTTAGATCATTATTAAAATCATGACTCTTGAAAATAAGTTCATCAAACTCTCCCTAACTAGTATTTATTTTTGCAGAACAAAAAATGGTGGCATTAGCTGAACTTCACTAATTTTCTTTACCTATTAAACAGATTTCAGGTTTAAATGTGAGAGAAATGCAACAGGATATTCGTTTCCATCTGACATTAAGAGTATAGCTAAGATGAATTGGAGACTAAATGGATCAAACCTGAATTTGATCAGTAAACTAGTTTTTTGCATTGTAAGATATGTAATAAAATGCATTCTGTTGGTCTTGTACGTATACAATCTTTACAGAGTTTCTCTCCAGAAAAAAAAAAAAGAAAAAAAAAGAAAAAACAACTGAAAAAAGAAAGTAAAGAAAAAGTATATCAGAAACCAATAGTCAAGCAGTCAGTGCAGTTTATAATCTCATGGTCAATCCCAACATGATGTGAAAGGAATTATAATATAAAGCACTGTTTTTTAAAAACAAAATAAAATAAAAATTTTCTCATCCTTTTATAAAAAATTGTTATTCAGAGAAAGAAAGGATTTATTGTGCTAGCCAATGTTTTTTACTTCCACAGTAGCAGAACTAGCTAATTGTGATGTTTAGGTAAGCAAAACTCACATTGTCTTCAGTCAAGCCTGCTACTAATTACAGAGCAAGTCTGCCAGTGGTGAAAATAAGTATGATGTTGGATTTAAACAACAATGCAACTCAACAGGCATAAAGGATAAAAAAAAAAGGAATATTTGAAGATTAATTTCTGTATTATTTGCTCCAGAATGTCTAACGCGATAATATCAGTGTGGTAGTACTTCGATGATACTGTAGATTTTTATGATGATAAAGAAAGAGAAAAGATGAGTGACTGGAACGGCTATTAATGGAAGAATTATTTTGTTCATCTGCTGTTGTGTTACTTTATTTTGTTAATTATATTATTTGAACATGGAATTTGCACACTAAGCACAGCAGAAGAAAAAGATAGGAAGAAAGGTAGGAATGAGTTACAGGAGTGGTGATTACAATATGTAGAATGACAACAGAAGACATGAGAAATCAAATCTAAGATGTGGGTAGGAGAAGAGATGTTCAAACTAATATTTGAAGGTGATGCTCTATAGTCATGTCAGAGTGAATCGAAAGTACAAGTTTGAGAAAGCTAATGTCAGGCAGGAGATCATTCTTTGAGAGTGATCAATGAAGTCAAAAGCTACTAAGAGGTGAGAAGCATGAAGACCAAATGAAAGCCACTGTTTTGGGTTAGAACATACTCCTGGTTACACTGGTGGGAACAACCTTGTATCTGGAGAGGCTGTAAATCAGGAACAGGTATCAGAAGATGGCTGTTCAGCAACTCAATCTTGTGATTGCACTTAGATAGCTAGCACAGATTAATAAGAATTTCTAATAGCCGTTATATTGTCATGCTGTCATAACTTTGAACGTATAGTTATGCTCTGCACACAAACATCCCTGAGCACCCCAGTGCTTGTAGTGTTTTAGCCATTGAACTATAAACATTCTGTACTGCAACAATATAATTCACGAAAGATAATTCACTGTATTTGCTAAGTAGAGCGTACTGATCACTCAAAAGGCAGCTTCAGATCAAGCCGTGGTTTGTTTCTTGGTTGTAAGGAATAGAACTTCTTGTAAGGAAGCTCTTGAGGAAGAGTTAATTATACAATATATGAAGTGTGGACAGTTGGGCTGGGTCACAAACAAATATTAATGTTAATATCCTAACTCTGGAGAGAGCTATATAGAGGACTCATTAGGAGGCATTTGACTTTATATGTCTATTCCAAACCAGTCCCTGCGTATGGTGTCATCTCTGTGTCACTGTGGATGCTGTCTTTCTGAGAAGAGTAAATGCCATTTTTGTCATTAGAAATTCTAAGTTGCTCCCAGAATCAGTAGTGAAACAGTTCCTGTGTATAAATAATAACTAAAGGAAATTGAAATTAATTATAAATTATTATAAATATACATAATTTCACATTCTATGGTTTCATTCCTAAACAGGAACCTCAATAAGTCTAGTCACAAAGTGTAGATCAGTATGCTGTTTCTCTCTCCAGCTTTGCTGGTTTTTAAATCATTAATTCTTGCCATGGTTATTCTACAAACTGAGTTTGATTCTCCAGTTGTTAATGGCAATAAATTTTTTTGCTTCGAATTCTAGGTGCAAGCTTCGATTAGGAGCAAGCCCTTAAATATGGTCACACTCAATCCTCATGGTTTTAATGGAGTTCGTTAAAATGCATTGCATTCTGCTGTGCCAGTCTCGCCTTCCAAGTTACTAACATAGGCTACCATCTATTCATATGTAGTGTCCAGGGCTGTGATTGCAATCTTTGCCTGATTCAATCTAGTATTAATCTCCTGAAGCAGCATTTTTTGTGTTATGAAGTTGATTCCTTTCTGCATCCAATCAAGAAGCAATGAAATAGTCCAACATCATTTGCAAAAGGATTGCTGATGTGATAAAAAAGATTAAATTAGCTCATCCAAGATCCTGTTTCTGTTTTTTCACACTTTATATATTCCTGAATATGTCCAGCCACTCCCATCAGCTTAAATTCAGGAAATGAGCATGTCATAACTCCATTCTCTAACAGAAGACCAATACTGGAACATCCAGTTCACATTCCTTTTTCCTGAGAGCAGTTCAGAATGGCTGTTCAGACTCCGTCCTCTCACTGTACAGCTGAATTGCCTCCCGTATCTGCTCAGGGGACGGATGGAGCTGCAGCTGCTGCTGGGGAGATTTGCTGCTCTTCAGCAGTGCTGCCACCTCCTTTGCAACTGGGGCCAAGAGGCCCTGTGAGCCAGGCACCAGCCTTGTCTTCTCTCTTGATCCTTGCCTGGGACAGTCTAGCAGGAGGCTGCTGTGGTGGCATGGAGAAGACAGAGGGAACAGCAGCTTCCATAGCAGTGGCCTTTTGCTAGAGAAGAATATAGCGGCTGCATGTCTCTATGAATACCAAAGCAGCGTATTTGTGTGTGGCAGGGTAGATGGCTGCTGTTGGGGGAAACAGCTTGCTTTTTGGGTGAGGGAGAAGAGGACATCCCAAAGCACAGTTCAAGTCTCCACAGCTGCCAAGATCAGGGCTACACTGCACCAAGCTGACATGCCTTGCGCATAAAACTAAAATCTGGTATTGAGTTCATCATTTCATTCTAGATTTTCTTCCATTTTAAATTAATAACAATGTTTAGCCTTTGCATAGTATTAAAAGTTTTTTGCAAACTTTAACAAATTAAGTCCACACCAGTTCTATTTTTTTCTGATCTAAGGAGCTTGGGAGTATTTTCATGTATAGATTTTGCATGGAGAGATATCGCATGTTTCTCTTTGAGAACTGACTTCGTTAGATTTGGCCCTTTTTTTTTCTTCTTTGCAGGTTATTCATGAAACAGTGATTTGCGTGATAGATTATACATTGTTATTTGGTATTTAGTTTACACAAGCATATCTTAGCTTACAGGATGTTAATATTTTTGTACTGTCTGGTCCTCAAATTATTCTGTATTTATGGTACAAACAAATGAGAACAAAGAGAGAATTTCACCAGCAGTGCAAGTGATTTGTGACTGACTTCATATGGTAAGAAATCTTTTCCTTTCCAAGTATGAAGATGTGAAGGTTAAAAGATGATGAAATTAGACACGCAATTACTAAAGTGTCTTTTTTATTCTATGTCCTCAGAAATGTCTTTTTCAGATCTTTTGTATCTCTAACTTTTGAATAGGTCAGATCAAATGTCCAAAGCCATCCAGTCTGTTAGAAAGAGAACGTTCTAATTGCTGTTACTATGATAATCTAATTCTGGTAGTGGCCAAAAGTCAAGACCAGGATCAGGCCAGAAATGAATTAGCTGCTGTGTAAATACAGCAATAGTCTCAATCCTGCAGAGCTAAGATTTTGAAGTGTCAGGCCTTATAAAAATAGAAGAACAAGAAAGTCATTACACCATTTTACGCATTTAACGTAGGTTGGCTTTTTAAGTTTGCTGTTGTCCTCAATACAGCAGATATCATCTTCCTGTTTCTCTGACAGATTCCTCTTTCATGACAGAAACTGATAAAGTGATTTGAAAGAGAAGAGGCAGGTCCAGGAGTTGATGCTGAGCACAGAGACAGCATAAAAAAAAAAAAAAAAAAAGGCTAATGCTGCCCAGAGAAAGGTCACGCCATTTGGTGACAGATTTCAAGTCTATTTGCACTCCAACTTTACAATTTACAAAGTTCCCCTTAAGACAGAATATAG